TCGCACTGCCGAGCCGGTTATCAAGGTTCAACCACCGCGTCGAGAGGATCTTCAGCCTAGCTACGCGAGGGTTATCCAGCCTGACGATGCTGATGCTGACACCAACGGATGGTATGGTGGCATGGTATGTTTACCTTAAATCCAATCCTATGCGCCACTCTAACACCCATCTAGATCAACACCCTAGGCGGCTGCATCGGTACCCTAGGAGCCATCCCCTGCTGCATCGTCTGCCCCAACCCCTACAAGCCTGTCAACCAAGGAAACGTAGGTCTCGTCACAAAGTTCGGCCGCTTCGCCCGCGCCGTCGACCCCGGTCTCGTCTACGTAAACCCACTATCCGAGCAACTCGTCCAAGTCGACATCAAGATCCAAATCGTCGAAGTCCCCAAGCAAGTCTGCATGACCAAGGACAACGTCTCCCTTCAGTTGACTTCCGTCATCTACTACCGCATCACCTCGCCGCACAAGGCCGCTTTCTCCATTTCCAACATCCGTCAGGCGCTTGTGGAGCGTACGCAGACGACGCTGAGGCATGTTGTTGGTGCGAGGGTGCTGCAAGATGTGATTGAGCGTCGTGAGGAGATTGCTCAGTCGATCCGTGAGATTATCGAAGAGACGGCACTTGGTTGGGGTGTCGAGGTTGAGTCTATGCTCGTCAAGGATATCATCTTCAGCCAGGATCTGCAGGACTCGCTCTCTATGGCTGCGCAGAGCAAGCGTACCGGAGAAGCCAAGGTTATTGCTGCGAGGGCTGAAGTCGAGGCCGCTAAGCTTATGCGTCAAGCTGCCGACATTCTCAGCAGTGCTCCAGCTATGCAGATCAGATACCTGGAAGCCATGCAAGCTATGGCGAAGTCAGCGAACTCAAAAGTCATCTTTCTCCCAGCACAGGTAGGTCTTAACTGTACGAGCTGCATTCAAGCCACATACTGACTTTGTACTTCCAGAACCAAACTGTCCAGAGCGCGCTCGCTCAAGCCGACTCCGTTGGCGAAGGACCCAGCTCCCACGGCGCCAGCCCAATGGGTGTGCAGAGCTCAGCAGCACAGGAATACGGCGGCAACAGCCACGGCTTCCAGAGCGCCATCAACTCGCATGTCATTGAGAACATGTAAAGAGCTGGCTTGACGACCAAGCTCTCATTCTTCCCTGTATTCATGTTTGTGCTGTTTGGTTTGGTATGCGATGACTACGGATGGACGATGGTAAGGCAGATTGACTGGACGGTTATGATGGTGGATTTGGGATTTTTGGCTTTCGCGTTTCTCGATACCCTATTCCGGCAGCAGTATTATCGGTTCACTCGCTACTCGTTTTGATAGACACTTTTACGATAATGATAATGCCTGATCATACACAACAATTTCGTCACATGTGTGCTCAGCTCGCTCTTCTGGAATGAATTCCGTTTCGAAGGTCTTCACATCTGCTAAGATAGAGGATGCCGCATACGAGTGTAGATCGAGAGGCGAAGGAAAGAACAAGGCATATCTAGGAGGTATTCATGATATTTGGCTAGGACGATAACAGAGTATACAAACTAATGTATTCGTCACGCTGGACTATCGCTCCATCTATCTGTCCCCAAAAAATTTACTGTCGTCATCAACCCCCGCGATGCCTTCTTCATCAGTCACCGCCAAACGGCTGAAGCATGGCTCGCGCTGCGTGACCTCATCGGCGCCAACACAAAAACATGTTAGCGCCAGCTACCAAGCATATATAATCTCTGCCTTCTGACCTTTTCTCCTCTTCTCGACACCCTCAAATGCATGAGTGACTCTCCAAAAAGAGTTGTTCGTTCGTAAATGACCTTTGGAAAGTGAAGTGGTTGGCGATGACATGGATCTTTTGCGCCCAAAACGAGTTGGCTTGTGGGCATGTGACGCATACGATGTAACTCTGAGTGATTCGAAAACAACACTCGAAGGGCATGTCGAGTCCAGAAATTAAGTTTCATGTGTTCATTCGTCTACTTTAGCGTACTGTACTTCTCCTCGACCCTTTCAAAACCATCCATTTACCAGGTTATGTGACTTTGTATACTCCAAAACGTCCAAGCTTACATGCCATGGTCGCTGACTCAAACGCACAATGCTTGCTCCGAAAGATGCTTTGACACAAAGGAAAATTTGAGATTTAAAAATTGGAATAGTAATACGAGAAGCTCCAGCTCCAGCAAAATGATCAACAAGAATGGAGGGAAAAATAACAAAGTGTCTGACCAGAAACACGGACTTATGAAGGAAGAACGCTCTTATCGGTCGTTCCGTTGCCATTCCCTAGTATCGGACGGGCCTCCTTCTGTTGTGGCTCGCCATATGCCCACTTCGTTGCTGCGTTGACGATGTTTGCGCATACGGGGTCAACGTGCTTAACCCATAGTGCCGCGGTTCGGTATAGGATGTAGTAAAAGACCGCAATGGCGATAAGAATGTGTGTCGTCGATCCGCGCTGGAGGTCTTGTTGCTCTCCCTTCTCGTTCTTCGGTGGGTTCATAGCGGAAGGTAGGTAAATCATCCAGGTAAGCACAGACTTGATAAAAGTGTTGTGCAGCAGGTATACGGGGAAACTGACGCGACCGAGGAAGTTGAAGACAGGTGAAGTAAGGAGCCTGCGTGCGTTCCTTGAGAAGAAGATCCCCAGCAGGACAAACGCGGCTCCCAGGTGATCCCAGTATCTCCGGATGTCCGTCTTATCGGCGGTCAGGCTGTGCATGATGGTGGCCATTGTGTGCGACCAGCGTGTGTTCTGGGCCGAGTCCTGGGGAAATCCAGCCATGAACATGCCGCAGATTATCATGATGGCGGGGATGGGGGCGGGTAGGACGGAGGTGGCGGCATCCTTGTAGTGGTTGTGCAACTCGGCTACAAACATGCCCGTGACGATGTTGAGGCCCTTGATGGAGCCAACTGTGAGGTCTGCTCTAGTTAGCGATTGCCCTGTTCGTTTGCAGGTCAGGACTATATATACCTTTGCCGACTTGCCAGAAATACATGTACATGATTCCGTAGATGATGAACCGCGCTTTCGGTCGTACCAAAATTGTAGCAAGCATGGTTGTATAGACCATGAATGCGCCTTCCAAGAACATATGCAGTGTCCATTGTGTGCCATCGTACTCGTCCCAGCCGGTCGTCCATGTCTCTGTTTGCGCCCTGAACAGCGACTTGAACGCCATCCATAACGTAGGCTCCTGTCGGTGCCAACCCTGCCGTATCCACTGCGCATCGACGTGCTTCGTCATATGGTACGCGTTCGTATTCGCCATGAACCAGGTAACGATTGTCGCAGCCATGGTGGGGAGAATCAGCCTTCCTGAGCGCGCGAGCGCACTTCGTGCAATGCCGTGGAAGGCAGCATCGTGATTTCCCTGGCGCGACTTGCTAATCGGCCCAATCGAATTGACGTATCCAGTTACGAGGAAGAAGAGAGCTACGGCGCTACGACCTCCGACGGCGAGGCGGAAGAAGGGGAGCTGGAAGAGGTGCGGCGCGGTTTTTGCGTCTGCGGCGGGCTGGTGTAGCCATGGTACAAAGGCAGTACATAGGTGACCGCATACGACCATAAATGATGCTATGCCTCGGAGGCCCTATAGCACACTGTTAGCCCCAGTTACACAACTGTGCTTGTGACGGCGGGTACGACTTACATCTATCCAGTTGGCGTCGCGAGGGGGCATGGTGAAAAGATGTAGCGTGCAAAGCCAAAAGAAAGTCTACTATTCAAGGAAGGTGAGGAGTTAAGAACTATAGTATGTGCTCAGGCGCATCGCCGTGGCTTCGAAACTTGCTGATGCGTGCCCAGGTGGCTTGGAAATTCCGCTGGTGCCGAATTCCGGGTTCCAAGAAAGCGAAGAACAACGGCGCTCGTAATGATGGAATCGCTGCAGCAAGGCTCAAAGTCGACGGCAAAGAGGGGAGCAGAGGTCAAAAGGAAGTGTAAGCGTAAACCAGCAGTTTGGCCTCGAGAAGCCAATGCACCCTGGCCCTACCGGTGGGGGCTACATCTTTTCAGGAACGCGCACCCTGCAGTAGACGCGGCTCACTGGGCAGATGGTGGACAGTTGGATAATGCCAAGAGAGGCTATCGGGAAGGTCACTTTAGCACTCTCCTTTGGCACGCCATCAGTGGTTTGCGGGCGCGGCAAAAACCCCAGGTAATGCTTGAACTTGATGGCAAGACTCTACCACAGATCACCCCTGAGCCGCAATGAGGTTGGTGCTCATGTCGCGTGCCCGGGCAGATGAAGCATGGAGCATGAAGAAAGAGGGAAACGGCATCCCGCGCTAACAAGCTGCATCTGTGGCCTTTACAACTCCATCGTGTAGCGCTCTCCTGACTATGGTCCCTACCTAGGTATATCTGGAACTCTCCGCTGGCGGATGTAACACAGCCAATGCAGCTGCACTTAGCCATGATCGCCCGGAACCGTTCCTTACTGCAGGACCAAAATCAACCCAAAGTTACGAACCCGAGAGCACCACGAAGAACTCCGCAAAGCCAACTATCCGCGTATTCGGCTCACGATAGCGGTACCACTGCTCATCGGCGCATGGAGGCGTAAGCTAGTGCGACGCCTCGTAGAATCAAGCACACGGAAGAACGTTTCGTTGTCTTGGCGGGCTGACGTGGAGGGCCGCTTTAACCGAGACTGCAACCCCTGAGCCAAGTTAGGGGTCGCTGCAACGCATCGTCATTTGCCAGAGCGTCCGTCTCCGATAGAGTGCCGTTTCACACCTGAGCGGTAACAATGTCTTGTTTGTCTTGACAATCGCGCGGCAAATCGCCAAGACCACATCGCGCGTGTGACCGCCTAGGCAGACCTCGGGAGAAAGAACACATCTCGATAGACTCTTCTTGTGATCGCGTTTGTCTCGTGCTACTCCGACTGCATTCTCGTAAATTGCTGCGCTACTTGGAAGAACGTATTTCCACTATCACGATAAGTAAACTAATCATGAGTCAAGATTCGAGATACGCATCCAACGCCTCTGTCATTGCACTCCACCCGCCTTGCCCATCGTAGCATGTGGCAACTGCTGGAAGCCGCTACCCAGGACTGCAGGCAGCGTGCTTGCCGTGCCTGGCGTTACTCTCGCCCACGATACGCCAATCGAGAAGTCTGGCGCATCCTCAGGGGCAGTGACATTGTCATTGGCCTGCACAGTCTGGTTAGCAAATATAGGTATGCATGGCTGAGGTTTTCCGGATCGGTGAGCCTTACATTTACAAGCAACCAATGTAGCTTCTCCTGCAGATATGTTCCAACAACAATTTCATCCATACTGCGCAGTTCACCCATGCGCATCCGGTCTTCCAGCGCCGCTGTCAATGCAACCACGCCATTGGTCTGCATCTCGGTCTTCGCCTGGCCAACGGCATTCTGGAAACCTGCATATCCAACGAACCCAGGCTCCGACATCCATGCGTGAGTACTCGAAGTTCCGGTGTTGGTCTTCAAGGTTGCGTCTAGGAAGACGAAAACCTTGGAAACACCCCCAGGACCTATGTGTTGCCCACGTATGACCGCGGAGTACTGGTACAGGACATCGCTGCTCTGGGAACTGGCAATATGTTGTTCGCCGCGTGCGGCCTCCCATGAAAACCGTGACGTTGCACTTCCTCCGTACAGTGCGTTCACTCTACCAACCATACTGTCCGTTGCGGAGAGCCCAAGGAACTCTGGATACGTGGAGCCGAAAACCGTGTGATCGCGAACGGAGGCTGAGGTCCAAAAGTCGCCTGCTGCATTGCGGTGGAATGGGTACAAGGCTGCTATTGTCAACGTCATCCAACGCTAGTCACACCATCCGCGATGTACTTACGTGTATTTTCGTCCGCCTGTGTGTACGGTGCAGTCGCGAATGTCGGCCAGGGATTGACGTGACTCTCGACGAAGCTATCCGGATGAAGATCTTGCCAGATAGCGAGCAACCGGTCGACGTTCCTACAGCAACAGTCAACAACTTTCCTGTAGGACACGACACGCAGTACCTACGTATGAAGCAACCAGAAAATAGGGTCAAACGCCGAATACGCTGCATCGTACATATGGCCACCACGACCAATGGCATTATGCAAAGTATCATGCACCGACTCCAGGCTATTCGGAATAGCACCTTCGGTACTCATTTCCACCATGCTGTTACTGACGTCCAGATAGTTTGCTTGCATGCCCAGCATCTGATAAGTCTGCTGCATGAGGTTCACCCTATTGCCATCGAGCGACTCCTCTACGAGGTTATTCTGGGACTCTGCGCTTCCCGCCATACTAGTTGGATATCTTATTGTTGAATTCCAGAGTATCCACGGTACACTCTTGAAGTCGTCAACTGGCAAAGGGTGGAAGTGGTATGCGTACAGCGGATTGGGAACGGATATGGTGGTCGTCACTGCTCCATTTGGAACTTCAATCTCGACTATTTCCTGTTGTACAATCGCCGGGAAGGAACTTGTGTTCTTGGGCGGTATAGCAGCGGCGTCCCAATATGGCATGCGGAAGGTGCTCAAGGCGTTGGACATCCTATCCCTCGCTTCTCCCACCGGGAACTCTGAGATTGCTTGTTGAGCATTGGAGTAGAGCAGCTCCTACAATAGGTTAGTGGAAGAGAGATTCTGCAAGTCTCTTTTCGTACTTCTATCAGGCCAAGATAAGGTCTATGCCATGTGGGAAACAGGTTGCTGCCATGAGCGCAGTAGCCATTACTTCCATTCGGATGTTTGCCAACGTCATCCCATGGTATATAAGGCCGACCATGTATTCCTGATTTCTATTAGCATATTCCAAGAAAGTATCTGGTGAGGTATTGCACGGAACAGTCCCAGAGCTTACCCGCAATCTGGTAGTAGGAGAACTTGTCGTATTGACCTATGCTCTGCAGTCGTCGCAAGCCCAACAGATAGACATTGAATTGGTCTTTGTTTCGTTCCAACTCTCGTATCTCCAATCGAGGATGTATAGTATCGATGCCCAGCCCACGGACACCCAGTACAGGGTGTATGAGGTCCGCTTGTCGGGTCCTTCTACTATTCCTTAGCACGGCAGTCGAGTACGTTGGGGTATAAAAGACGCAGATGAAAGTAAGCAACCAGCGCGCTCTGGTGAGCATCTTGAAAGCCACCAAATATCCGCTCACGCAAGAAGCAAAGTGAGTTGTTGAGAGCGCGGACACTCTTGCGAGAGAAAAGCATCAAGTTCTGGGGGATTTGAGATGAGCAAAAAGCGGGCTTCCGAAAATGTAACAGCAGTGTCAATTATGAGCTGATCTTACATAGTCAGACAGTATATTCGTTACAAACGCTGCTGATCTTCTTATTCTTTATCGTGCATATGTAGCTAAGCGCGATATGCTTACACTGGTGATCAAGCCTGTGTAGTACTCGACGCGTAAGGACAGAATCGTGGCGAAACGGCTGATTGGTAAAAGTGCTAACTATAGTGTATAATCTCGTGGATCGGATATTAACACAGGGCAGTTCCATAATAACACGAGCTTGGTGTGGGAATAAGAAGACACCGCATCAATGTATCAGAACACTGGGCGTTCACAAATTTGATTTATTGTACACGGCATATATGTCAAGCGGCTTCGCGATTAGAATCTCTGCGATATGCTCACATCTATACAGCGAAATTAGTCAAGTTTGCCTGCTTTGTTGATGTGGCGTTAGATGGCTGTGGGTTAGCTGTACAACACGCTGGTCGCAACCTCAACACCGCCAGGTTGCGACACATTGTTGACGACCCATACCACATTGGCCGAACACAACGTTGCACCTTCCTATTCACGTTTCCGTGTAGCTTCAGCCATAAGCTGAGTTGCAAACATAGCAAGAGAATATCGCCTCTAGAATTGTGTATATGGAAACCTTCAGGCTAATGCTAAGCCACGGATTTGCAAAGAGACGCCGTCGACTCCAAGTCATACAAAACGTAATAGTACAGCCACTAGAATAGTACTCAACACACCAGGACACCGGCTAGTCCAGCTTCAAATCCATATTCGCATACGCATACTATGCGTGGTCGCCTTCACCAGTCTCGTCGTGATGCATTTCAGTCCCGTGAAAAGCATCGCCGAACGCCGAATCATCGACAAGGTCCAAGCCCAGGTTGTCATCGTGTCCATAGTCGGCCAGCGCGTCTCCAGCGCTATCGATGTTGTCGAAGCTTCCAAAATCAGCGGTGTCAAACATGCTGCCTGCATCAGCATCGATGTTGGATTGAGGCATCCCGCCGACGTTGTTCGGGCGCTGGTTGTTGCCCATATTTGGCTGCTGAACGCCACCGGCTGGCTGTTGGGCATTGCCTGACTGGTCGTTCATCGTCCAGTCATCAGTCTTGTCTCCTGCACCCGCCATGCCGGACATTTCTACATCCAGATCCAGAAGATCGGCTCCTACATCAAGGCTTGTATCTTGTTGATCGAATGCCGACGATTGGTTCATGTTGCCGTGTGGTACATTGGGTGTACCGGTGGCGGACTGCGATTGACTCGGTGGTTGCGATAGTCTAGGCAACGACATGTTGCCTATAGGTGTGCCAGAAAGTGATCCCGACCCATATTGATCCAAGAGGTTCGCGGCAGAGTTATCTTCCATTGAGCCCTGGTTGTTCATGCCATTCGATGTGCCGTTCGCTTGCTGTTGAGCTCCGTTGCCGTTCATCTGAGCTTTTGGAGGTGAGGGTTGCTGTACTTCAATAAAACCACCCTTGTCTACGCAGACAACCGCCTTCTTCTCATCAAACTTGACACCCAGCGACTTCTCCAAATCTTGTACGACTCCTTCGACCGGGTTCGCGTCCTCGCCGTCGCTCTCGGTAGAGCGGGATAGATCGCGCAGTCGGCGTTCGGCTTTGATGTAGGTCCTGGTGCGCTTCAACTGTGCCACCTTCTTCGCGTGCTCGGCCTTCATCTTGTCAATCTCAGCCTGCTCGTTCTTCGTGTACTCTGCTACGCGCTTCTCAAAGTCCTTGAGCTGGTCTGCGTCCAGCTTGTAGTAGTTCTTGACTTGGTAGTTTTCCTTCCCTGGCTCCACGTTCTCAGCTCCCGGGACGTCCAAGATGCCAGCAGTAAGCGGAGCAAGCTCGCCCATGAGGCCGAGGCCTAGATCGATGGGCGCGATCTTTCCAACAGCGTACGGTGATGAGAAGATTTCCTCCATCCACTCGTGATGTTGCTTGTAGCGCGACAAGCTAATCTCGCGCGGAGTGAGGAAGTCAAAGGCATCTTGTGTCGCATTCTCCTCCTCTTCGAGAGTGTTGTCCGGCGCTAGCGTGCCTGCAGCGGGTTGACGAGGTTGAGGTTGTGTCGGCAAGCGCTGGCGTTTGGCTGGCGGAGGTTGTGGAGCATATGACCTGCCTGGGTACATGGGGTTGTAGCCCTGGGGCTGAGGGCCTCTCATCGCTTGGTGTCCAAACTCGACTTTTGGCCAATTGGCCTGGTCTACCAGCATGAATTCCTTGCGCATCAACGGTCCGGCTTGCTGAAGTTGAGCGCGCATCTGGAACTGGGCCTGGACCTCTCGTGGGACGGGTATCTGGGCGGCGGGCATTCTGCTTTGTGGATCTGCGGGCTTGTAGTGCACAAGCCAGAGATTGGGGTCGATGTTTCCAGGACCTGCGGCGATGCGATAGCGATGACGCGCATGTACGGCATATGGTTCGTGGGGGTAGTGGTAGCCACTGTTGTGGACGAGGACTTGGAGAGTCTATTGTGGTGTTAGGCATTTTGCGCAAATGACGCCTGAATATACATACGTATCCGCGCACGTTCATGTCGTATGCGGTCTCAGCATCAGCCCACACCATTCCATCCGAGGCGAACATGGTGCCCATGCGCGGGGGCTGCCATGTGAGGATGACAGTGCCATCTTGGGGAGGGGCTGCGAGGTAGGTCCACGCGACGGGAGACGTGTCGCGCACGATTTGCGGGCCTTTGATGAGGTATTCGAGGGCTTGCGGAGCTTGGAGGCCCGGGAGAGTAGGGAACCGGTACGAGGATATCAGGTGCACATGGGGAAGGAGGTGATTCGGCACCTGCGCACTCGGGTCGGGGGCATGGTAGGCTTGGTTCATGCCGTACATGGTGGCGGAGATGATGCGACGGGATTGCCGCGTCGGTCGGGTCGGTTTGGGTGGTGATGCAGCGGGCGCGAAAGCTGGGGTTGGTTGATGTCTGGAATCTTTGGCGCGTTGGGATCGCGCGACTGCCAAGATGTCGTCGTAAGCGGTTAGCGCGGTACTCGGCTCTACGAACACATGTTCAGCTGCAATTGATTATAATGTACACGAAGGTTTCCTGTATATTAGTGAAAGATACTATTGCGTGTGGCTTCACTAGAGACCTTGCTCCGTACTCACAAAACAGCTTCTTCGAGGATGTTCTTCTTTGCAGCCAGCCATGAGCACCTGAAAGATCGTCTCTTAATCCTCCTGTATTATCGGAGCGCTGAAGTTAGCTTCTTGTATGCTTACTCTATTCTCTAGACAGTCTTTTTACATAATTCACCCCTTCTGACCTTTACCTCATTCTACACAGTTGTGGAAGGATGGGGTTTCCAAGGTTCCAAAGTTGAATACCAATACTAAAATCAACTAACCGTCGGGCATTAATGATACGTCGCTTTGAATTACGCTGCGCCATGATGTGTTCATATACAGCAAAGCTGGATGCAAGGTAGGTAAGAAGAACGTCTTCCACTAGAGGCCGTTGCATCTTTCCCCTTCAACCTACAAATATTCAGACGTTGAAGCTCTGCAATAAGCCTACCTGCATTCTGATGTGACGCATCTAAAAATCACTCTAAGCCTATGTGCGGATGACTGCACATGTTTTTAGCAAAGCGATAATGAGCTGCCCCGCTAGTGATGAAGAGAACGAGTGAAAGATACGCGTGAACCAGGTATTCCAATGAAAGATACAGCTTTGACCGGCGAAATATTTCGCGAGATTGCCCCACAAACTTGCATGGTGTTTTCGACGAGAACGGCTAAGTCGATTGAGCGGGGGGAAAATGTCACCGGCCCGCAACACGATATTTTTTGCAGCCCCTGAGAGCCTCACGTAAAACGGCAAAATAACGATATAAATGTTACAATCTGACGACTTTTCATCAATCACCGATCACCGATCACCGCTCATCGCCCGTTTGGGCGCCGGTGAATTCAGCGGTCCTCTTGGCAAAAGAGCAAAACCGGGCTTGTGGTTTAGTGGTATAATACTCCCTTAGCATGGGAGTGGTCCAGGGTTCGATTCCCTGCAAGTCCATCTTTTTGCGCTGCTGTATCTGGCTCCATGGTGGAGATACAGGAGAGTGTGGTGAAGGTTTGGGATTTTTTGCGTTTTTTTTGGTGAGAGGGGCATCACGACTCGTCACTCTACGCAGGTGATGCAGGCTCTTTGCTCAAAACTCGCCCCTATGCTCCTAAACTACTGCTATTGTTTGATCATGACTTCATTCTGTAATTGTTTTTTGACCTTTGGGCGTGTGGCGGTCGCAGGCAGCATCATATAACCCCCTTCTTCAACAACCCCTTGGTCAATGTCACGCGATAATAGCTGGGTATTGACCAGCGTGATCGATTAGTGTAGCGCATCAGTTTTGAGCACATGCAAAAAGAGTGTGTGGACTTTAACATCATTACGACACTCCTACTAAGCAAACAATCCCATAGATCTAACTTTTGAGCCTCTTCCGCAGCTCCGAATCAGGGAAGATGTAATTGTAAACACCCCTGTGTAACAAAGTACGATCCCGCAAAGACGGTCTTGGTTCACCCTTCGCTCGCAGCAAATGCTGTCCCCACTCGACCACATGTCTGAAGGCATTAATCGCTACATGATCTGGCCACGTCAACCTAGGGAAAAATTGAACAGGTCTACAACCTACATTTTTGTGATTACAGCCTACATTGACACAGAATCACGCAAAGCAGGTAACCTAACGTTAATGTAGGTTCTAGGCCTGTTCAGATTTCTTCTTGTATAGGGTGTAGCTGTCCTAGTGACGGGTCACTCATTAAGGCTAGCCTCACTTTATCCTCTAACTCTCGTAGCACCGCCCTCTTCCATAGATCTTTGAACGCATTTTGCATCTTGCTATTGTAGTTGCGCACCACATCTGTTGGCAGGGTAAATGTCGGATCAGCGCGCTTCTTAGCATCGCGCAAAAGTGTTGTCTAGAAAGCTTCTGAACGTCCTCTTCCTCGTAGAAGCGTGGGTCAGACTTGAGGTAATAGTTCTCAATACTGCGCGAGAGGGCGGCCTGTTGCTTAAGCGTTGGACGTGGGTAAATTTGCTTATTAGCCTAATCTTCTACCTTTTTCTTGTACTCATTCGTCGCGCTATTCGCGAGACCGGCCTTTCTTCGCTTCCGCGAGGACTGGTATCGCTTGGCAATCCGAAACTCGTCCCATTTGTCGTCTTGGGCGTGGACTTTGAACGTAACGTGCATTTTATTCGTCTTCTCTGTCAATGCAGGTCCATTGAGATGAAGGCGCATCCTCAGCATCGCCAGCAGTAGGCGAACGAGATTAGTAATTTGGATCATAGTCGTACACACCAGAAGGCTCCTTGAAGAGAAAGTCAAGCATGCCACGATGCATCTCTGTCTTCTCACTCAATCTCGGAGTTCTCGGCTCCGCACCCACATTCAAAAGCACCAAACCCCACTCTATCGCATGCCGTAATGTGTCAAGACTTATCATCTCAGGGGTACCTTCAATTTCCGCATGTGTGGCTTCCTCTCCATTCTCCTCTGCTGCTTCACTAGCGATTATCCTAGCAACATTTTTAGCGATGGGCACAACCACATCGCGCAGAATTTCAAGCACTGCCCTTTTGTTATCGCGCTTGAGCGTCTCCGATGGATCCTGTTCGTTGTCGTTGTCGTACCTATAGACGTATGCTTCTGGGGATGTACGTTTGCGAATACAGGTGAAAAGAAAGCGCCAAGCGTGTAGTTGGGGCAGATTTGCTCGGAATTTCACTATAGACTCGGGTTTCCAGTCGTTGATGATCTGGTCAACCGAACTTAGAGCATCGCGGTCTGCTGCGCCTGATACAGGATATCTGGATTTGGATTTCCAATCGTTGACGACATTTGCCAACTCATCTTTAAAGGCGCCAGCGTCGTCCGTCTTGCGCCGTTTCCGTGGTGGTTCAACGGTCTGACCGAGAGCAAACTGTGCCCAAGTATCGCTCTCTTCTGGGGTATACGCAAGTTTGAAGTCGTCGACAATGGTGCCTTCTGGCTTCTTTATCTCATCGCCGTACATGCGGTCCAATCTGGCCAATTGCTCATCGATGACTTTTCGCAATTTCTCTAGATTTGGGCGACCATCCGGGTCATATCGCAGACATTCCGAAACAATCTCGCACAGACCGACACTGTATTCTTTGGGAAGCTCCCTCAGATGACTTGGAAAGATCCCTTCCTCCTGGCTGACATTTCCTTTCTTGAGTTCATCTTTGTATATCCAAGTTTTGCATCTCTCATCGGCTTCGTCGTAGAAGTCAGTACCTTTATTATGAGCGACCATAAGCGCCCAGGCTGTCATGGCTAGACTCCAGATATCCGACTTCTCCGATACAGTCCATCTCTCCGGGAACCAATCAAGTTCCATGATCGCAGAATGCTCTCGTTCCTGTTGAAAGATGAGTATCAAGAGAATGAGGAGGAACACATAACTTACCGGGGGCTGCATGCCAGGCGTGCCGTCGTATCTTCTCTCGTCTGTACCCTTTTCACAGGCAATGTCAAAATCAGACACAACAACGTTCGGATATGCAGGGTACTTGGTATTAGCGGTCTGCAGGAATATGTTAGCATCCTTGATATCGGAGTGCACAATTGCCCGCCATGTCTCTTCTCGGTCGTCGGGTGCAGCATTCGGTGATGAGCAGGTACCATCCCGCAGCGCCAGTAGTGCCTCAGTCACTTGGCTGAGAAAGTACCAGATGAAGTGCTCGGGCACAGGTCTCTTTTCTTTCTCATGCCCGTCGTGGACGCGTGCAAGATTCCCCAGTTCGGCAAACGACGTGTATATGTTGTAGAGATGAGCTTCGAAAACTTGGTTTTCTGCGTGAGTGCGGAGTGTTTTGGTGGATTTCCGGTAACTGTGGCCACGATACGGTATCATATGCGAACAATTGAGGGTACTAATTATCTGGTTTATATGAATCTCGTCCTTGGCATCCTTCTTCTCTTTGTCTGATATTGCTTCCAGACATTTGACCGTGACGCGCTAGTGATAGGTTAGCACAGCTATCTGGCTATGTTTGTTGACCTTGACTCACATCTTCGATGACGCCAGTGCTGCTGGTTCGAACACATAAGTAGACTGACTTGCGAGGCATAGTCCCCTGGCTGAAACGCCGTTTGCCATCGTCGAGCCGAGTCTGGTGCAAAGTCATTGCAAACTTCCAACGGCCGTCGTCATGACTGTAGAAGTCTTTTCTCTGGCCTGCCGTAGGGCCCAAGAAGTGTTTGCGTCTAGGGTCATTCTGAAGGAAAAAGGTAGGCGAACGCTCACCGCTCGAGGCTTCCGATGACGCCACTGACGCATCATCGTTGTTGTCAGGCTGCGGCAATCCAGTTGGTATTGCTACTGATACTACTGGAGGCGCTGGGCCAGAAGGAGCGACTGGTGGAAGGGCTGGTAGAGGGACTGGAGCAACAGCGCCTGGCGCAACTGCCGTTGCCGCAGGTTGTCGGCCATTATCTATCTTGCCCAGCCAATGATTTCTCCTTGCGGTCCATAGCCTGCCGATACTCGCCCCTGTGTTTCTTCCGCGAAGGTCTTTTCTCCGGTTAGCGATGACCTTCCGCATAAACGAAAGGAACGCGTTCCTCGTCCTGTTGTTGGTAAATCCATCATAGAGTGCTGCATCATCGGCATCTATGCTGAAGTATGTGTCAAAACCATTTATGTTGTCTTGCACCCGAGGGCGCTGAGCGTTCGCCATTGCATGTAGAATGTGCCGGGTGGGTATGTTATGGAAGATTATGTGAGGATTTGCAAAACAGTCTGCGCAAGTCTGCGCTCATGTGAAATTGCATTTCCATCTCGACAAATAACGTCAAAGCCTCTTGTACTGCTTTGTTGATGGCCTTCAGGTGGTGGTTTGATGCAGAGACAATGGGATTGGGGATGCGGAAGCAAGCACGGAAGGACTATGTGGGTCTTCTGAGGTTCGCTTAGCCAGGCGCTTTGTCGCATTTGGCGCAAGTTCCTTTACTGACATGAGTTTGCACATGTGAGGGCTAGAGAGCTCGGTCAAAATATGATGTAGTAGTTCACTTGAAGATCCTTTGCAACGAAGTACGCTGAGCAAGACCTCGTCAAAGTCGGGATATTGAGTCGGTGTAAAACACCACTTCATTCAAGAAGCTGATGTACTCATCAGGCGCAATGGACATCGGCCAGATTGTACGTGCCGCAGGGTAAGTAGCTAGCTCTACGGTACCTGGGCAGATACAATGTTACCATAGGAAGGCGGATATATCTTATATCTCTACCAACAATCCATAAAGGGTATTTAACTTTTGTTTCTTATGCACATGACCTAGTTACCCTCCCAGTATCTATATCTCCTGCTTCCACTCCTTGTTAAAGGCCCGTCCAATAACCATTCTCCTCACCTCGCTCGTTCCAGCACCAATCTCGTACAGCTTGGCATCCCTTAGTATCCGTCCAACAGGAACCTCATTCATGTATCCCATGCCGCCCATCAACTGCACCGCATCAGCTGCGACCTCGCTCGCCCTCTCTGCCGCATACAGAATCGCTCCTGCACAGTCCTGTGTCTTGATATCAGGACTAGCATGCGACTCATCCACAGCGCGGGCGACACTGTATGTGAAAGCCTGACTAGCCCGGTATTTCGTATACATATCCGCCAGCTTGCCCTGTACAAGCTGGTTATGCGCAATCGGCATGCCGAACTGTTTTCGCTGGTGTGTGTAAGGAAGGACGTTATCAAGCGAAGCCTGCATGAGACCCAGCGGTCCCGCTGAGAGTACAAGGCGCTCGAGATCCAGGCCCTCCATTAAGACGCGGACGCCGCGGTTGATCTCACCGAGGACGTTTTCCTTGGGGACGAAGACGTTCTCGAAAACGAGTTCGCCAGTGTTGGAGCCGCGCATACCCAGTTTATCTAGTTTGTTCGCGACGCTGAAGCCGGGGGTGGAGGTCTCGAGGATGAAGGCTGTGATGCCCTTGGAGGCGGCGTTGGGTTCGGTTTTGGCGTAGACGACTATTACGTGTGCGTCCGGGCCCTGTGAAGACGGTGTTAGCATATCGTTCCCCTAACAGCTTTACGAGACAAGGAAACGTACGTTTGTAATCCACATCTTGGTGCCATTGAGCAAATACCCACCATCCACCTCCTTCGCCGTACTCTTCATGCTAACAACATCACTCCCCGCACTATGCTCACTCATAGCCAGTCCACCTATCTTCTCCCCGCTAATCAAACCAGGCAGGTATTTCTTCTTCTGCTCCGTATTCCCGTTCAACATCAACTGGTTGACGCACAACTGGCTATGCGCCGCGTAACTCAGTCCTATGCTTCCGCTCGCCCGCGACAGCTCCTCCATGACAACACAGTGGGCTTGGTACCCCATTGCCAGTCCGCCGAAATCTTCATCCGCGGTTATGCCTAGGAAACCCGCTTCGCCGAACTTCTGCCACATTTCGTTGGGGAACTCATTCTGTTTGTCTGTGCGAGCCGCGAGCTCTTCGGGGATCTCGCGTTGGGCGAAGTCGCGGACCGATTCGCGGAGCTCGTCGAGGTCGGATTGCGAGGGGGGTGTGAAGGCTTTGGGGTGCTTGGTTGAGGCGTGGCGGGCTGTGGTGGTGGAGAGGATGGCGGCGCGAGGGACGCGTGTTTGCCGGATGCTGCGTGTGAAGAGGCGGGGGGCTAGGGCGGCCATTTTGGTTATAATTTGGACTAGAATTGGAAGATTGAAAGAAACTCGTCAAGAAAAGTGCTGAGATATTTGGCAATACCGTCTTGGAAGTTCGGTTTGCGACGGCTGATGGACCGAGGCACCTTCCTAACTGATGGATTGCGGAGGACCAGGGTCCGGGGAAGGAAGAAGCGGCGTAATTCCGCTCTCCCTTCCCATCTATCAACAAACATCTACACCACCAACAATCCCTCAAAGGTCCTTGATACGCTTCATCGCCCTACCATTACACTCCCCCACATCCAGCGCGACCAAAAACCTACTCACAGCATTATACGCCGCAACCGTCGCTGTCAACTCCACAACCATGGTGTCCTCCAACACGCCCTTGACCATGTCCGCAACCATATCCTCTACCTGCACACCCACAGTCATCTGATCTGTATAAACCATAACTGCATACTCCTCCTTGCTGAATCCCAAAAGCCCCTCCCTCTCCACCATCCCGTGTTTTGTAACAGGTAAATCAGAGATAGTCTGGAGTACTTCTTTGGACACGCCTGCTTTCAGTGCCAGAGCGGCATGCACGTCCCACTCGTGAACTGCGTGGTTCAGCACTGCGATGCGACTTATGGCTAGCTCTTTCAAATTGGCTGGTAGACTGGTTTGCGTGCGGATTGCGCCGATGAATGAGTTCCAGCCGTCTGCTACCGCGGGGTTGTGTAGGAGCGCAAGGTCGAGTGGGATAAGCGGGCGCGGCTTTCGTCGCTCGGCGATGCGCTCGTAGATTGGGCGGGCTTCTTCATTTGGAGGCTCGCTTGGGGCGTATGGGACGCGCATTTTGAGAGAGATTGTAGTGCTGAAGGTTCGTAGGGAGATGGTGTGTGTGATGGGTCGGATTCGAGGGCGGATGGCTGCTAGGTATGGGGGGAACATTGAAGCTGGGAAATCATGGGAGGAGACAGGCTTATGTATTCGTTTTATCATGCATATGCAGGGACTATCACATGTATACTTTCCGGTATACGGCATAGCGAGGCATGGCATTGCTGAATCATGCCAATAACTCAGGTGAAATTTATGAGATCAGCTTATTGAAAGATCATTCGATCAAAGATTCATTCATGCGTAGTTTGCCGTAGATCCCACCTTATGAAATATATACATATCCAACACCGCAAAAGACAAACTAATCTACAACCTGCTCTGCTCATCAAAGACGTTCGGTAACCTAGGGATACCTTCCAATCGAGTTGTCTTCTTACCCGCTGGTGCGAGTGTAACATTGTATGTCAAGTCGAGCTTCGCCTTGGGGTCCTTGCTAGGCTCAAAGTCTAGCAGTAGATCGTCCTTGACGGCAAAGACAGTATCGTTCGAGACCCATTGGTCGTCGCGGGGGTATAATTGTGTGATGAGCGGCTTGTAGTTCTCAGCTGAGACCATGAGATGAATGTGTGCGGGACGGAAGGGGTGGCGGTCGAGTGTCTTGAAGAGTTGGCCAGCGGCGCCTGTTATGTGTTAGTCTTGCTCATTACGATATCTTGAGAGGATAACATACCATCGGTAGGCAGCGAGTACGCTGTTGGCTTGTAGCAGTAGTACCAGTACTCGCCCTTCTCGTTCGTGGTGAACTTTCCGCGCAGGTTGTTGGGTTCCTGGTTCTCGGGATCTTGGAAGTCGTACTTTCCGTTTGCGCTCGCTTGCCAGATGTCGATGACGGCGTTGGGGATGCCCTTCTTGGTGTCGAGGTCCATGACTACACCGTGCATGAGAGTCGTCTGGCCATCGGGATGCGGATTTCGGATGATGGTGTCGCCGAGGTCGCGGAATGGCGAATGTGGTGACCAAAAGGGGCCGAGGATTGTAGAGGAGGTGGGTGTCTCGCCAGACTCGTTGATGTGCTTGTGTGCGATCTCGTCGACCAATCTGGGGACAAGTTAGTTTGAAGTTGAAATCTGTCTAGGTTTCAACAACTCACGATTCTACACCCAGAACATCTGAGATGCGATGCGCCTCGTTCCTGGTGGCGGTTGTAGTCTTGCCAATGGAGTTCACAAATCGTACACCCTCAAACCACTCCTCGTTGGTCAGCTCGACCTCGCGAATGAAGTCGTGAAGATGCCTGATCAGCTTGCCCATGACAAAACGCGTCCGGTCTGGCACATTTGGTCCAATAGCGTTAATGACGGCGTCGGTGAAGTTGGGGTCGAAGCGGTGCGAGCCATTCTCCTGAACCTCAGGCGCTGTTTGTGTGTTTGGGTTCATTTTGGATGTGAGGATATAAAGAGAATCAAGGTACGAAGGGTATCAAGGTGCAGGTACAGTGAGAGTGGTGAGAACGAGACATGATGCTGGGGGGCATGAGCTTAATAAATAGTACCTGAATTCTACCACCCGCAGCCAACCGAACCGATACCGTTGACGATGGCCGTCTCTCTAGCCGCGGATCAGGCGAGACCTTGTCAGAGCTGTCTGGCGGCATGCTGTACCGGCTTTCAAGCTTACTATGAGTGCGAGGAGCTACAGTGCCGAAGGCTGCGCCTGGTCGCGACGGCTGCCCCGCCTCGCGCTGGGCGGGCTGGCGAATTAAAAGGCAGCCGATGTGGAAGAAGGCTTACCCGGCCTTTTTCCCTCGCAATTTAGCGTCATCAGCAATAATGCCCCACCTTCGGCGCAGACCCCGGAAGTCTAGAGACGCGACGCGATGGCTGAATTATCGCAAGGTGGAGGGATTATTCGGAACACATCCCAGAGTGACAGCATTTACTGCGAGCTGTTTGTTTACACGAAAGACACGTCCCGCGGAAGGAAGCAACCACCAACATGGTCAAGCATCACCTCATGATCGGCACTTGGACGCCGCCAGGTGTGATCATCACAGTCGCATTCGATGATGAAACATTGAAGCTGGAGTTGGTGAAGAAGACAGAGATCCCAGAAGATGAACCCATAAGCTGGATGGCTTTCGACGTATGCGCGCAACTCTCGAACTTCGATGCAACCAACAATGGCTGATGACCAGGCAAATAGCACAAGAGGAAGAACATCTATGGTGCCTCTATGAAGAAATGGAGCTCGCACGAGGTCAGGAGCCCGAGCGAGATTGTACATACAGGAAGCTTTCCCATGGGCGGACATCGTAAGCGACACAACATCAACGCAGGTTGCTGTTGCTGACAAGTTCCACAGCTAAAGCAAATGATGCCGACACTAAGACGCGTGCGATCTTCCTCCTTCCCGCCCAGAAGCCTCCGTATGCCGTATACTGCAACCCGTTCTACGACTATGCTGGCTATGGCAACATCTTCTCCGTCAACCCCGAAGGCCACATCAAAGAGAACATCCAGAACTTCGAGTACTGCGACAAGACCGCGATTCATGGCATGGTCTTCGATCCCTCAGAGACCTATCTCTACAGCGCGGATATGTGGGCAAATCGCGTCTGGTGCCATAAGAAGATAGACGACGAAGGAAGGCTGGAAACAGTAGGCTTCACTGAGGCTCCTGCGCCGAAAGACCACCCAAGATGGGTAGAGATGCATCCGTCGGGCAACTATCTATATGCCTTGATGGAGGCAGGGAATCGGTTGTGCGAGTACGTGATCGATCCGCAGACCAAGCTGCCCGTCTACACGCACAAGACGTACCCATTGATTTCACCTGGTAAGTCGACCTCTTATTCCTAGCTATCCCAGTAGCTAACTATATCTCCCAGGTATCCCCAATGCAACCACCATGTACCGCTCCGACGTTTGCTTCCTCACCAAATCCTCAAACTACCTTTTCGCGACCTCCCGATCCAACTCCTTCTCCCTCACTGGTTACATTGCTGCATTCAAGATCGCTCCCTCAGGCGCCATTGAGCGACAAATCTGCCTCAATCCCACGCCAACTTCTGGTGGCCATTCGAATGCAGTATCGCCGTGTCCTTGGTCCGATGAGTGGTTAGCGCTCACCGATGATGAGAAGGGTGGTGTAGAGATATATAGATGGCATGACGAATTTCTGGCAAGAGTTGCGAGGTTGGAAATTGGTGAGAAGGGCTTCGGTATGAATGCTATTTGGTACGACTAGATCGACACACATATTTGATCACGAAGAAATTTGGATACAATTGAGAAGAACTAGCATCACGGAAACGTTATCTTCAGTATACTAGTATGAAGTTTGATGTGGTTGAGTACTACATGCTGCAATGGTCCTCCACGTCCCGAAACGTAGCGTACACGCGTGGTAGCGGCGGGTCTGTGTTCAGCCTCGGAAGAATGAGGGGCAGCGGTACCGCCGTCGCCCGAACTAACGCCAGCCGGCAGATGTCATCGGGGGAGCTCTTCTTTCCCCAACTTCGTCATGGCCTGCACGAGATGATTGGAGTAGTATAGTCGCAACCATCGAATCTAATCGTTTTCCAACTTCGCATTTCCACCCAGTCCTCTTTCAACTACCTAGGTACTTGCGACACTTACACTGAAGTTTACAGTTACCCCACAGCAGATACAATGGCAGCCAAATCAACACCAGGTATTTTGTACGTGACGATGCAGCCCAAGGAGGGCCTGCCTGAAGCACAGTTTCACGATTGGTAAGTTGACCCCTCCGCAGCCGTATCCTTGCTACCTCACGATCCCACCTGACACTCTTCCCTCCAAGGTACCAGAACGAACACGGCCCTAATCGTCTGCGACTCCCGTTTTGCAACAATGGCTTCCGCTATCGCGCCACCGACCTCGACAGCGCGTCTGGATCCAAAGACAAGCCGGAATGGATGGCCATCTACGATTTCGACGAACTCGAGTGGCTCACTAGGGAACCGTACACGAAGCTTCGAAGCGCACCGGTGCAATCGCAACGGGAACGCGATACTATGAAGCAGATCTTCGTCGACAGGCGATCGTACGATCTCCTCGGAGAGTGGAAGGGTGGAGACTTCAAGGACCTACAGAAAGTTGAAAACGAAGGAGAGAAGAACGTCATGATTGCCGTGAGCTTTGCACTGCATGAGGGCGCAGACAAGGAAGAGGAGCTGAAGAAGTGGTACGATGAGGAACACGTTCCTCTTCTCCAGAAGGTGCCAGGCTGGAGGAGGACAAGGAGATTCGTAACATCGTACCTAGATCTGGAGAGCGGACACAAGACGGAGAAAGAGTACCTCGCGCTGCACGAGTACGCGCCGCAGAATGGGCTGGGAGGACCAGAGTTCAAGGCTGCTACTACAACAGAGTGGTGCGACAAGATCTACAAACATGTCGTAAAAGACAGGAAGAGGAGGGTTTACGATCTCTACTACACCTTTGGTGCTGCACAGCGCGACCTCCAAAGTCTAGCGAGTGCAGACACAGGACCAGCAGAGAGTTCCGAAGGCATGGTCAAGACGCATCCAGCACACACGACATCCGAGAAGCGACCAGCAATTGAGAGCTTCGTCACAACAAAAGACAGTGTGCAACTGCCGTACCGCCTCGAAGGCTCCAGCGATCCCAACGCGCCTCTACTCGTCCTCTCAAATAGTATACTCGTCGACTATGGCATCTGGGACGACTTCGTAGCCGAATTCACGAAAGTCACGAACAACAAGTATCGCATCCTCCGCTACAGCACCCGTGGCCGCAATACGCTTCCCTCGAACTCTACATCACCTGTCACAGTCCACACGCTTACAGACGACGTCATCGCCCTCCTCGACGCCCTCCGCGTCAAGAAAGCCTCCATCGTCGGTGTCTCCCTCGGCGGCGCAACAGCACTCAATGCCGGTCTCTCCTACCCCGATCGCATCTCCGCCTTTATCGGCTGCGACACTAACGCCTTCGCGCCCCCCTCCAACGCCAACGCCTGGAACGACCGCGTCGCCGTCGCCGAGAAAGAAGGTCTAACCGCCTCATACGGCGAGCCCATCGTCGGCGAAGAACTCGCAGAAATGACAGTGCGCCGCTGGTTCGTCAAAGAGTCCTACGACGATGCGGAGCTGGCGAAGAAGATCCAGCGTGTAAAGGACATGGTCAAGACGAATTCACTGGCTGGGTTTAGGGATTCGGTCAAGGCGCTACATCAGTATGATATTAGGGAGAAGATGGCAGGGTATAAGGGAAAGGGTGCGTTCTTGGTGGGTGCGGGGGATGGGGTGTTGCCTAAAACTATGAAGGAGAATATGGCGGATAAGTTGGGGAGTGGGGTTGAGCTTAAGGTTGTTGAGGGGGCGGGTCATTTGCCCATGGTGGAGAGGCCGGCGGAGGTTGCGCAGTTTGTTGCGAAGTTTTTAGAGGGCTAATGGTGTGTTGAGGTTTATGAGATCTACATCGTGACTTCCCTTCCCGTATCCTCATACAGCATCCAAGCTTTTCCAGGGTTCAGTTGAGGAGCGGCTAATCGGAAGTGGCACGGCGTAATCTCCTGATATTACTCACGTTCCGCATACGTCACATATATTTTCTCCGTGGCCCATGTACCTCACCTGCATCTTTCGTTCTCTATTTTCACTTGTCATTCCTACCCTGTACTACCACTGGAAGGTTGGCATCGCACTATTCAGCCTTCAGCTTTTATCGTTCCCAGAAACCACAATGTCAAACCGCGTCCAAAACGGCCGAATCGGCAAACACACGACGCCATACAAGAACCGTTACCCTGTCCTCGCCGAGCCATACTTCTTCAAACCTACTGCCGAAAACCGTCGGTGGTGCCCTTACAACAAGACACGTTACTTGTTCAACTTTTCACAATGGAAGGGCAAAACAGTTCATGAGTTGGCCTTCGACGAGCGAGACCGCGGTGGTCTCGATTTCCTCTTTTTCATCGTCAGCGACAAGTTCGATTTGGCGCGTCGCCCCGACCTTATCATTGCCCTACGCTCCCTTCAACATAGCTATTATAACAATCATCTCTTCCCGACTTTCACCGAGGGGCTCACCAAACGAGGATTCAAGAGGGTGTTGAAAAAAGGAGCGGTATATGAGTGTGCAATGTATCCCAAGAGCATTAATCCCCATCTACAGTGGAATCTATCGTATGAAAAAACACCGTTCGACCACTTCATCGAATTGTCAGAACCTCACAAGATATATCGATGGACGCTTAAAAAGCCGGATGTTACCTTCGATGCGCAGTCACTCGCTGCACTGCGGCAAACCTGGAACAAAGGAGGGCATGGGACGCGTACCCGATACATCTAACTTTCTATGGAGTTCCGACCCGAATTGAACGCTTGTTCATCGATGACCCAGAAAAGAAGGCGACCTACCTCACCGTATCACCCGCCGGAATTCAAGGACACGATATTGAAGACAAGTTTATCAATCTCACCATGAAGCTTGATGAGGAAGGCAAAGAGCCTAGTTGGGCAGAAAATATGCTAGGCCTTCCTTTCCACTTCTCAGGAGCTCTTTGCAGTACAGATACTGTTGACTTGGTGGACACAAATCTTGAAAAGGTGGATGACGAGTCCGATATAAAAACCGGCCTTCGCTTTGAACTAAGAGGTACTGTTGGTACTGTTGATGATGGAAAACTATCCGTCAAGCCAGATTGGATGGATCCACGGCTCTTGGAAGATCAGAGAAATCGCGAAACGATGCACATGACTTTAAATGAGGGTGTTCAAGTCCCAGTTGTTGGAGAGAAGTATCTGATCAAGGGTATCATTCCGCCGCCAGACCGCGATAGGTGGGAGCGGCGTCTATTCGATTGGAAACAAGCTACGCTACCGGATGGAGTTTGGAAAGCTTTCGCATTTGATCGCATTGCTGAGTAGACTATCATCACACCAGTCTCCACATTACTCTTTTCGCCTTTGTCGATGCCAACTATATAGTGGAAGAGTTACGGACAACATCGAGTCTTTGTCCTACGTTTCGCATTTGGAAAGTCATGTCCATCTGCAAGTCAACTGCCGCTTTCGTATGTGCTCCTCCGACTCTTACGGAACAAAGCCGGGCTGCTGTCTAGGACTCTTTGCCCGGCGACTCTCGAGGTCTAAAACTTTGTCTCTGCTACCTTACTATACAACCACATCTCTTTCGCATATATCGAACTACTCCACCACTTACTCAACCCGCACAAATCCCTCTCTTCAACAGTGATCGAATATGTCAGACCGTATCCAGCACGGCCGCATCGAGAAGTCTCCAAGCAAACCATGGCAATCAGACTATTCGCTACAGAAAAAAGCGTTCTTTCGACCCAAGAAAGCATATACCTTCCGCCCGACGGAGCATAATAGGCGCCTAATTCCAGAGAACAAGGAACGGTACTTTTTTAACTTCGGCGAGTGGCGTGGCTCCGCAATTGGGGAGCTCGTTTACGACCAGTCTGGCAAGAGGTACATTCTTGCCTTTGTTTTGGGCGACAAATTTGATTTGGAAAGTCGTCTCGACCTCATCACGGCTTTCCGCTCGTTAGATCTCGACTTCTACTCCGATCACTGGTGTGTCGGACAAAGAGTACTAGACCGAGGCTTCACGCGGACATGGAGAGATGGCTCGCACTACTACTATCAGCCGCTGAGCAAGGATATGACAGTGGGCTTATCTTGTGATGAGACGCAGTACGACCAGTTCATTCATGCTTACAGCCATGGGCTTTCGCATTGGACGAGTTCCCTTTCCAGGGAGGGCGAAATGGGGCCCGATGTGACCCTTGATACAGCAACGTTCGACGAAACGGTCTTCAGCCAGCTTGATAAGGCTGAGCGAGAAGACTTGGCGCGGTTCCCAGTACATATTTCCTTCCACGGCATGCCAATTAGGTTAGAGCGGCTATTCATCGACGACCCAGATAAGAAAGCGACATACCTGAATATACAGCCGTTTGGCTTCCATAGTAGCACGGGTAGGGGTAATCACTTTTATCTCACAATGCGGCTTGACGAAGAAGGCCAAGACGAAGATTGGGCAGAGAAGCTTCTCGGTCTACCTTATCACTTCTTCGGCGCCTACGTCAACAGCCAAACGGAGGACCTCACGTGCGCACATTTCAAGCCTATTGAAGTAACCGAAATTGAAAGCGGATTTCGCTTTGAAGCCAGTGGTAACGTGGTGTTGTCGGAAGGTGGCCGTGCATGTATTGAACTAGATTGGGGTACTTACTCAATGTTTCGAGCGTATGGATCTCGAAGGCATGAATCACTCAAGAGTCTTCCTTTGAGATACTCGCAAGAGGAGTTGGATCTTCCAGGGGGTCCATGTCACATGCGTGGGATAATCACGCTGCAAGACAACCAGAAGTTTGACAATAGGGAAGAGCGTCTCGAAGATGCTGTATGGAGATGCTGTGCTTTCGAACCCGAAGGCACAACATGAAGATCGGGATCTTGTAGCACACTGATATATCATGTTAGTTGTATTAATATAAACACTTGCCTTCTAAACTACGTTCTACCCCCTATCCTCTCTACCATCCAACCAGCTCGTACAATTCACACACCTCTTAGCCTTCTCACTAATATACTTCCTACAAAACCGACATTTGACCTGCTTCTTGACGATGTTATCCCCGCTGCCCCTCGAATATGCCAGCGCCACGACCCAAAGCGCCAACGCAACGACCAGAAACCTGACAATCTTGTCCAAGAACTCGCCGTAAGCTAGCACGACGGCGCCATCATCAACAGCCTGCTTAGGGGTGTTGTAGCCATTGGATATGGTGGTATTGTAGTTGGGTCCGGATTGCAGGATGGCGAATTTGGCGTCGAGGTTGCGGGAGAGGAAGGGGAGGAGCGAGATGATGGGGAGGATTATGGAGGAGACGAGGGAGTTTGCGACAGCGGTGAAGGCGGCTGCGAGGCTAATTTGTGGGTTAGCATGGTGTATGTACATATATCTTGTTATGGAAGTAACATACATCAGTCCAACGGCTACTTCGAGCACGTTGTCGCGTAGGGCGAAGTTGCTGAAGCTGTCCCAGGCACTGGCTGTTCGCCTTCTGATTCCCTGTTCTGCATCGCGGAGGGTTTGCTGTGTGTTATCGTCTAAGCGCGGCATGATAGTGCTGTAGGGTGTTGAGATGGGAGGGTAGGATGTCACGATGCGTAAGGATGTGGTGCATGGGTGGTGGAAGCTGAGGTCGCGTCTCAGGTGACGACGTCATGCCGGTGGACGCGTAGTGCGCGTAACCTTGGAAGGTTCGCACTAAGCACGCGCATCAGGCTTGTACTCGCACGCCTACGGTCACATTGGCATCTTTGAAGCATACAATTGCCATCGGATACGTTCAGCAGCGTTGAATGCAATGAACATCCCCCTTCGTTGGTAGGTAGTCGTGGCGATATAATCATCTCCACTCCAACGCCTCCCGAAACCCAGTCTACTCCACGCGTAAGCTTCCCCAGGCTGTGGTCCACTTAGCGAGACGCCAGATAGATCGGCTTTCCTTTTATCATTGCCCTGCGTCCCAGAGAGCCAGGCGGCTGCAGCGCTGCGCACGACATATCCAGATCCTTCGACATGACGACTTCTTGCACATCATGCCATGCACACGGCGAACACCACATCCTTCACGATCTCGATCGCGAACAGGCGTCGCACACCCAACCTCACATTCATCTTATCCAGCCACCAATCCGCACCGTGGGTCTCCGAATGCCAACCCCACAGAGTCGGCCCTTCTACACAGGAAGCCACTCTCCTCCCGAAGACAGGCCACATGCCCAACCCACACCCCACCCCACCGTCGTAACGAGGAAACCACCAAAAAAGATTTAGACCCCGCCTGTCGCAATCGCAATCACGCCAGGCAGCCTCATGATTCAGTACCATCGTCAACTATGCCGACCCCGGATCAAAGCACTCCGCCGCCTATCTCGCGCCGCGTGACCCTTTGCGGCACGCCATAGTAAGATCGCCGTCCATTCTGTAAGGGTCAAAAGGGTAAATCCTCCCAAACGCAGGGTCTTGCCATCCGAAGCGGATGGAAAAGCGTGGACATGACAAGTGGTCAGGATAGATCAGGTCATGTTATAGCAACTTCAGGAAAGGTAAGCTGTGTACATGTGTAGATCTCCTCGCGTAAACCACACCAAAAAAACGATGCGCGGTGCAAAATACCCTTTTCCTGCGATAATGTCGGCACGCTGCGCTTCGTGAATGGATGAAGTGAGGGGTAAAGAATCCGAAAATGTGGTTGGTGAAGCTGCTGGATATATGCCGGTAGATGTATCGTGGGCACACTTTTCTCATGCAACATGCGCAGTGCACGAGGCTGCATGCAAGATACAGAACAAAGCGCGTGTGGCTAGTCCTTGTTGGAGTAATGGCAGACGAAAATCACGACTTGGTC